TGATGGAAGTGTCTTGGATTGTGTATGAAAACACCACACTGTACCCCCAAAGTGCATCAATGTACACAGCTACCATTCAATAAAAAAAAAAAAAAAAAAGAAAAGCCCTCTCTCGGGCTCGTTTCCTTCCTTGGGCTGCAACTTCGCTTTCTTTACATGATCCCTCTCACGTAGAATACGACGTATTCTGTCCTCCACCTATGTTAATTAGTGTTATACTCTGCAGTCCAGTTCCCTCCTGGTAAAGCCAATTCTCCCAGCCTTTTCCATTACCCCAATATTTAAACTACCTTCCATACAACTTAGCACTGGCCAATTTTGTTTAATGTGTCCAGATCTTGCCTCCTTTTAGAGAAAGCTCAAGACCTAACCCTCCGAGGCCCCAAACCCCAAAACCCCGCTGTTTCTAAAACGCAGTCAAGGCCTGGAAGGTGGTAACAAACCTGTCACACATCCCTAAACCAAGTCTCCAGTCAGTTGAGGATGAAGGGGAATTCCACACACCCAATACATTGTCGGAGCACCCTTGGCCAAGCCCGAGCACACGTGCGGTCAGGACGCTCAGCTCTGCACGCTCCAACCACGGCAGAAGCCTACCTGCTTCCAAGTACTGCTTGTGGGGACGCCCGCAGTCACCCACCTCCCCCCTCCCCGCAACGCACCCCAGATACCCCTGCCTCGGCCGTTGCTGTCACCACGCAGACCTCAGCCAGGATCAGTCAAACAGCAGCTGAGGAGCAGACACGCGTAGTTTCAGCCGCGAACGTCCAGCACTCACCTCAGCCTCCACGAGGCTCCGGCCGACTACCCCGCCCCCGGGGCCCCGCCCCTTCCGGGTCCTCTCCGGAGCCTCTTCCGCCAGACGTTCCCCTTGCCTTCTAGGAGGAAATGACGTCAGGGGCTGGGCTCTGATTGGGGAGCGCCTGCTGGGAGCGGAAACCGGTGTTTCGCCGCCCAGAACATTTGCAGCTGATCACTCCAGCCTCCGGGGACTGAGATTTGCCTTAGCCGGCTCGCTTCTGCTGAGGGTTGTCTTGAGATGTCGCTCGGCCGCTTTTTACCAGGAGCTTAACCTGTCTTGCCCGCCGCCCGGATGGGACCGCCGGAGTGCTGTGAGAGGCCGAGAGGGAAGACGGGCGGAGCGGGCCGGGGGCGCCGCCAGAGACGCGCGGGACTCGGGCAGGGAAGAGGGTGCGGGCTCGGGGTTGGTTCTCTCCGTTCTCTGGAAGAATGAGCCTGGCGCTTCTTCCTCATCTGTTGCTTGGAGTCTCACCAAAGATAGTGTCGCAGACGCCATGTAGATGAGAAGAGAGAGGGTAGGCAGACGCAGGCACAAGGGACATGGGGAGGTAGCCGAGGAGGCGCGCGCACAGGGGTGCAGGTGAAATAGGGCGGCTGGGAGCCCTGCCAGTTGTAGCCCCAAAGTCAAGTCCATGTTGCCGCCTCTGTGGACGGGGCTTTCCACGAACTGAGAGCAGCTCAGGTCAGGGGTGAGTAAACGCTGAGCCTGGAATGCTGAGTTGTCTGGGTCCCCGCAATACTAAGAGTGACATTGGCCTGGCTTTGTGTTTCTGCTTTCTGGCCGCTTGGGGGGGAAGTGACCAGAGCATTCTCCTTGTTTGCTGACTGAGGCTTACGTGCTCTGTCACCAGGTGGGAATAATGTTTTCCTCTTGCAGTTCTGCCCGCTTTTATTCTTAAGCTGCATGGAAGCGTTTAGAAAGGAGTTTTTATCTCTAGAACTATGCAGAATCAAGCTAACATGCAGCTGTACAAAGGAAGTACGCCCCTGCTATCGTCCACCAGTCTAGGAATAGAATGCATATGATGAGACTGGGTAGCTGTAGCGGCATAAAGTGTGTGTTTTGTTTGTTTTTAGGGAGCATACCTGTTTTGAAACAAAATTGGTATGGATTGGATGAATAAGAATGGAAGAAATTATTTCAAGGAGTTTGGTGGGGGAAGGGAGCACTTGGTTGGGTATGATTAGTATCCCCTGTAGGTGCTGTGTATTATGTTTCTATAGGAAAAGTGTATGTTTCAGTGGAAAACGACAGTTTAAATTTTATCTAAATAACACGCCTTGGACTGAGTCTAAAAAAGCTATTTTGCAACTATGTAAACTGTAGATAACTGATATTAATGCCACGGAATTTTTGTCTAGCATGCACGTTTCTTGTGATTCTCCAAGAGGCTTGGGACCTTGAGAATACTGAGAACCACTGTTCCTTCAGGAATCGTGTTTTCCTGCCTAGCTTGGGTCAGTGACCCCATTTGCCTTATTGTCAAGGTGTGTGCGTTTAGGGAAGGGGTAGATTTGAATCTCTTTTTGATGAGATAAACCAATTTTTGTTTAGAGATGCATCTGGAAAAGAATTCAGCCTTTGCTAAATACTGTGACACTTTCCATAAAATGCCATTAAATTTTCCCCAACAGTAAGAGCAATGAGCATTACTTAATGTGCACTCAACATCCAATATCTTGTGGATCACAATGACTTTTCAAAGTTGGGAAGAGGCCAGGTGCCGTGCTTCATGCATGTAATCCTAGCACTGTGGAGAGCTGAGGCAAGACGATTGCTTGAGCTCAGGAGTTGGGAGACCAGCCTGAACTAGAGCAAGACCTCATCTCTAAAAATAGAAAAATTAGCCAGAAGTTGTGTAGCGAACCTGTAGTCCCAGCTACTCAGGAGGATTGCTGGAGTCCAGGAGTTCGAGGTTGCCATGAGCTATGATGATGCCACTGCACTCCAACCAGGATAAGAGATTAAGACTGTCTCCAAAAAAAAAAAGCAGAGAAAATTCAACAAATTATATTGACAAGGTTGACAAGATATAATTGGAGATACAGGAGAACCACCAGAGTGTATTGTCAAAGAAGATAATAGAGTTTAAAGGAGGGGATGATCACAAGTCAATGTGACTAAAAATTAATTAACTCTTGTATCAGACATTTTGGAAGTTATTGTGGACCTTGAAAGAGTCTTAGCATTGTTGCAGATACCTTGCAAGAGTCTTAGTGCTGTTACAGAGACCTTGGAAGAGTCTTAGCATTGTTGCAGAGACCTTGGAAGAGTCTTAGCATTGTTACAGAGACCTTGCAAGAGTCTTAGTGCTGTTACA